CTCTCTCTCTCTCTCTCTCTCTCTCTCTCTCTCTCTCTCTGCAGAACTGGGGATTGAACTCAGGCCCTTACAAGCCTCTCTTTTTGATTAATCATAGATCAAAATCTGCCCTCATTTAGCAGCTTAGTAGACTCACTGAATTTGAATTTATTCAAGAAAAATATCAAATTATTAAATTTTCAATTCTTAGCAGGTTTAATTCTAAGATGTAACATTCGTGGAGATAACCTAAAATCTATTTCTACAGTGCATTAATTTCTGTGTGAGTGAATGGGTGATCCTTTCTGAAAGATAGCGGGCAGGCTAGGTACCCTGAAGCTGGTTAAAATGGACCAAGGTCAGGCCTGGTGCCATGTGCCTCTAATCCTAGCGTTTGTGAGGCTGAGGCAGGAGGATAGCTAGCTGCAAGTTCCTTGGCCACATAATGAGTTCAAGGTCAGTCTGAACAACACACAAAGGGACAATCTGTCTTCAGAAATTCCACCACCTGAGTAAGGGCCGAGCCTCCCTCCCTGCCAGCCTGCTTCTGGCTGCCCACCCTGCTGGGCTGCTTGAGTGAGCTCCTGTACCCTGAGTGATCATTGCTGCCAGCTCTGCACTAACAGCTCATACTGTTGTCCTCATACCAAGTCCTCACTGTTTTAGCCACTTAAAGAGTTGTGGTTTTTTTGTTTTTCCCCCTATTGGGCCTGTATGGCCTTCATTATTGAATGTTATGAAAAATAGGCCTTTGGAAATTGGGAACTGTGTTTTGTTTTTAGTTCCTGGGATGTTGTTTGCAACACCAGCCACTATAGAGAATCCTTTCGGAGCCTCTTAGGGAGAGGTCTTTCTGAGGCCTCAGGACTCACCCAGAGCAGGGATTGCCCCCAGGCACCACCTCACCCACTGCAGTGGATCATGTGCCCTGTGTGTGTGTGTGTGTGTGTGTGTGTGTTGCTTAACGTTGGGTGTGCCTTCAGGGGATGCCTGGCACCTGCCAGTGGTGGGCCACAGTGTACTAACCTTACCTCGCTTTTCTTAAATTGTGTTCCAGTACTCTTCATTCCCTCCTGAACTCATTCCCTCTCTCCCTTGCTGTTTCCCTCCCTCCCTTCCTCTTTGCCTCCCTTCTTCCCTTTCTTCCTCATTTCTTTCCTGTACTGAGGATTAAACCCAGGACCTTCCCCAGTCCTTTTGCTTTTTTATTTTGAAACAAGGTTTCACTAAATTGGTTCAGACTTGGAACCCTCCTGCCTCAGCTTCCCAGTGTAGGGATTATAGGCATGTGCTACCACACCTGGCTGTTATCTTCTTTCATAAAGTGTATCTTTGTCAGCCCCATTATCATTTTGAGAATGAACTACTATACAAATTTGTGAGCAAAAACTATCCTAATTATTTTAAGAACCATCCTTTCCATCCATTGTTGCTATCCCAGGGTTGGCCCTTGCATTGCTTCCTGTGGTCCAGAGGCCTCTGGGTTGGTCCTGCAGCATTGTCGCTCCCCAGGTTGCCTGCGCCCTGTCCTAAGAGTCATTGCTGCAGCTCAGGGGACAGGCTCTTTCTTGGCAGTAACACCCTTGCCCGCCCCACTCCAGGCCCATTTCCTGTTGCCTTCCTGCTCCTCAAACTCTTGTTCTGCCTCTTTTTGTTGTTCTGCTGATTATTCGCCTTCCTCTATTCAGAAAGAAAGCTCTGGCAATCCCTTTGTGGGCCTCCTCTGCCGCCTCTGGGTTGCACTGAATGGTTGCGGGAACCCTGTGCTGCATGCCCCTGGGGCATTTCAGTGAGAAATAAATGGCAGTGCACACCCTTCCAGCACTTCATAGAGCTTCCGGCTGTGTCGAGTGCTTCCGTGACAGTGTCATCTGTGACATTTACTCTGGGCTGGTGCCCAGCTAGGGCTGTGCAGCACTAGGGCTATCAGGTGGCCCTATCTGTGTGACAATTATTTAATTGTCTGCATTATCCTCCGAGCAAGAGGGTACTTCTACCTTATTTTCATATTCTCACCTCTGACCAGACCAGGCCCTCAGGAACCATTTAATAAACAAAAGAGGAAAGCTACAAACAGCATGTGTGTACTCTTGTGAGGTAAGGAGCGAGAAAAGTCTGGCTGCCAGGCCTTCACCTGGAGCCTCAGCAAGGTATTGCGAGGGGCCAAGGGACACTCCGTGGCTGCGCACTTGCCTTGCACGTGTACGGCCCTGGGACTGGCTCTCAGCACCACCCAAAAAAGAGCATATTATTTTGAATTAAGATACCCTGCCCCACACACACATCCACACTTCATTATTTCCGTAACAGACATCTTAAAGTATCTTGGTGGTTGAAACATAAACCCTGGAACCAGAGTGAGTTTGAATCCCAGTTCTCCCATTTATACACCGTCTGGTATGAATTTGAGTTTTTAACCTAGCCTCTCCATGCCTCAGTTTACTTATATAAAAATGGGGTGGCAATGGTTGGTACTTCATGGAGTTGTGAGGTTGAAGTATTTTGTGTAAAATGCCTAGAATAGGACCAGACACACAACAGCAAAAGGTGGAAGTGTGAGCTGAAACTGCCAGTATTACCCAAGTCCATGGGTAGTTTTGCTGGGCTATCTCATTGTTTTTTCATAAACCTGAAAAGCTGGTTTTTTGGTTGTGTGTGTGTGTGTGTGTGTGTGTGTGTGTGTGTGTGTGTGTGTGTGTGTTACTGGGGATAGAGCCTAGGGCCTCCAGATGCTAGGCATATTCTGTCCCACTGAGCTACACTGCAGCCCCTGAGAAGCCTGGTTTAATCTGTGGCCACAGCTGACGCCACCTCCGCGCCTGCCGCCTGGCCCCACCATCCACTGTGGTCACAGCACCTGCTGCCAGCTGCCCCCTCCACCACCCATACTGGCTTTCTGGTTGCTGCAGCAAAAGGGTATGCTGCACAAAGAGGAAGCCAGCAGGCTTTATTTCTTCTTCCTACGTTGGCAGAAGAGAAAGGGGAAAACCAAGGCCCTTAACAAAGATTGTTTTAGAGTTTAAATGTAACTTCTTATTCATGTTCTACAGTTTGGACTAGTAGTAATAAATCTCTCTCGAACCCAGAGAGCTGTGTTTAAAATCATAGTTTTATTTTATTTATTGGGTGTGGGGGTGGGTAGGGGTGTTGTTGAGACAAGGTCTCGCTCTGTAGTTCAGGCTGGCCTGAAGTCACAATGTAGCCCAGGCTGGCCTCAAATTCGCTGTGATCCTCCTGCCTCAGCCTCCCAAGTGGTGGAGGTATAGGCTGTAGGTGTCTGCCACCATGCCTGGCTTAAAGAGATAGTGTTGTTTTTTTTTTGTTTTTTTTTTTTTTCAGAATTCCGTAGTTTGACCTCAGGCCCTTGCACTTGCCAGGGAAGCGCTTATTCCACTGAGCCATCT